CTTTCAAATCTACCGACGCAGTAATTGTTGATTTCCTCAGTCGAAAATGCTGCCATCAGCAGGAGGGGGACTTACCTCTCAACGGCAGAGGAATGAGTGCTTGCGCTACTGAAGGAGGGTTATGAACGTGTATTTAGCTTCTGTTTACCTACCTCGTCCTTCAGTCCTTTCCACTGTTTCGCCGTAGGTCGCATGCCATGACCATCAGTTGCATCCAGTTTAACCTTCCACGACTGCGTTCTCCATTTGTGACCAGCGAAATACCTCTGCTCAAAAGTGGCACCTTTCAAATGTATTAACTGTGGGCTGCAGCAAATTCTTACAGTGCTTGTTAGTCGGCAGTTGTTAGAGTCTGTAACCGATGCATGGCAGGCTGCACAATACTTAAAGTGCGATGTTGCCAAGTCTTTCCGCGCCGTAGATACTGAGACATTTGCAGAGTATATGGGTGAATGAATTATTTATGATGACTGTGCAAACAACTTAACTCAAATTGCCCTTAAACTGATTACACTTTTCTTCAATTGTAAGGAACTCCCCACGACAATGAATTAATTCTTGTGAGCGTTTGCACTTGCTCTTTGCTCTCTTGGCTGCAGGAAGATAAATTTCACGATTCCGAATTTATTACTGACTTCACAATTCTGCTGTGCCCATCCCTCTTCAACAGCCATCCTCACCAACATTGAAGAGCCTCTCAACTGACTTGCAACAAGTTTTGGACAACTGCGAACGAACTTACCCACAAAGCTTTTCTTCTCTCCAATTTTGCTTTTAATGCGACGATTGCTGGACAGGAGCCTAGTTAATGACATTCGCTGGTGAACTTTTTTGTGCGAAGGTAAGTTGTCACCTGACGGGTAAGTGTCATCAATCCACGCCTGGACTGAAACCACGTCAATCATTTTCAAAACTCAAAATGGACCTTAAGTACCCCTGAGTTTTCTCTCGCCTTACATGCCAGATGGTCAACAATAAATTTGAAATTCGCAGAGCACCACTAAATTTGGATGCTTGCGGCTATGCATATGGGACCTTCCAAATGGAAAGGGAGGAGCAATTGGGTAGTTGAGTGGGACACCTTACATGCATTCACCTCACGCTTAGCCACCTTCATAAAACTTGCAGCAGTGCGGAATTAGTGGATCAAAAAACTGCTTGTTTGTGTTTCGATGCGCGACCGCTCCATTCACCGTTTGTGATACTGTCGTAACCTGTTTGGACTCTTTGCTTTGAGGGGACAAGGTTTTATGCGATTTGAGGGGAATGCGTCCACCACTTCAACACCGACTTTATGTACATTGTAATGCCCGACAAGACCCCTTAAATCGCATTAACAAGACGGCAATTAAACTACTATCGCCTAGCAAAGACCAATTCTTCGGAGATGACAATCAGGTGAGCATTCTGCAGAACACGACCGCATGCAGTAAGTCCGATCCAACTCATACTTTTGCAGTCCTTACCGTAGTCGATGAAGTATGCAGCCTCAAGTGATTCAAAAGCAAAAATTGGTAGGGAGAAAACAAGTTTTGTAAATTTTGTTCACTCCTCGCATTTTGTTCACTCATTACATAGGGTTGGAGAAATATTTTAGCAATAAATGAAGTCCCCGAATTACTTCCACATTATAAGGCGAAAATTCAATAATTAAGTTACAGCTTCGCAATTTTTCGGCCTCTGAAAGGAGGAAACGTCAAGCGATTTGTAGCCCAGTAGCGGCACTTGGCAAAAATAATGTCATTTGGTGTTTTGCTGATTTGTTTCAGCATCAAGGATTTCACTAACCCCTTCAAAAAGAATCACTCCATCCAAGTTCATTTTACGTCAGTAAATGCTGAGGGACATAGGGTGCTGGTATAATTGTTGTCCACAATGAAAGGAAATGAAGCGAGAAAGAGAATAGGGGCAAGACATAATCGGAGGAACCGAAACCACCGTTTGATAAATGTGATGGCAAAGAGGAGCAACTGGGACGATTGTTAGAGGAAAGGGACTGAAAGGCGTAACCATCGCCTCCACTTTCGTACGCCGATGAGCTGTGATTGCATCGGATGGGCAGCAAACTAAAAGTTTATGCTACTCTGTACTGCAGAAAGTAATTTTATGCAAGGAATGAAAGGGTGCTAGGGAAATGGAGGAGGAAACGTCCCTTCATCGTAGAGAAAGTGAGGGCTTTGTCAACCACACATCCAAGAGACGAGACAGAGCCAAAACTGAATGAAGCCTAAATGTTCGGCTCAAGTCTGCTGAGTGCGTTGCGTTGGCGTGTTGTAAATAACAGTCACGTTACTCGAACTGGATCATAAATTGATATGATGACTGATAAATACTTGGCTCCTGTTTGCGTCACCGCAATGTTCTGTAAAATATAAACGCTTTGACAATTTGTCTACTCAGCGGGAGTAAACAAATACATTCTCATAGCTCGGAAACTATTTGTGTCTTCGTTACTCAGTCGCCGTCATCCCAAATGAGTAGATGATACAGTCCCTTATTCCTGACTTTTGAGCAGCTAACACCAATCTGGCTTCCCCACCATGATTCGTGTAAAAGTGGCGGAGAATACAACTTCACTTAAAACTAATCCTTTGTAATTGCCAGTTTAGTACACGGCCGTGCCAAACGTGGATCCTGCCACAAACATCTCGTCCATAGATGGTACAAAATACCGAATCGCACAAAGCCTCGTTTACACCACTTTCGCAAACTTCCACGCACATCCTCCGCAAAAGAATGCTTGAGATGAGCATTGTTGACCACGCAATGGATGATAGATTTAAAAGCCTCATAACAGGCGTTGTGGCCAAAGTTTAAGTTAGCAATTTTAGAATTTGAGTACCACTGCAATGGTCGGATTTGAAACTATGCTATAGGACATACTAAATTACCAACACCTCCTCTGGCTTGCGATCAAATCTCCTCCATGTTGGATACGAATTACGAATTATCATCATTGTTACGATGGATATTTGTAGTAAATGAATTTGAAGTGTGCTTTGGCCTTTATGACCCTTTCCACATGCGCGGATCTCGTGCTATGGCCGAATATGTGCCATGGATGAGCAGAAGAGACAGGACTGCTGGCATAACCTCATAGACCTGCTTCAGAAATAGATGTAACTCTTATTCAGATACGCGTTATCGTTCATAAATCCAGTACAGTCTTGTTTCTCTATTGCACAAGAGTATTTCAAGATCAAAGCCAAGACGTAGAACCTTGGGAATGAAGACAGATGTGTCAGTAAGGCTGCACTGTCTGGAAGCACATGCATCCCAAAATTAGCATGATTGGGTCGGATGTGCGCGATAAACGTGGTTTAGAGGATAAGCGACGCTCCTCTACACCGAGGTACAATGGGTTAAGGTTCATCCCGCCTGGCGTCGTGAACACTACAGTCCACTTTCGGTGGTTACAGGATTGCAGAAGTGTGATTTATGCAACTAACAATAAGATGATTTACCGTAATAGGCCACCTTTCTTTCTTCTATATTCGCATTGACATTTTTTCACGTTCTATTGAGTGCGTCAACAACAAAGACATTTTTGTTCTGCGAATGCTTACCTGTTTCAATGTGGTGCCCTTCTTTTTATGTTTTTGCGACAGTCCTTTATGTTGTTGAAGTATAGTGTTTTTCTCTTCGGGAGGGTTTTACTCAAAAATTAAAACTTGCTTAGCATTAGCAAAAGGAGGGGAAAACTCTCTTCGGTATTCAACTAGTGTCGAGGCGGACCAAAGCACAGATGAGTGAGTGAAAGATAATTCTAGGATGAAAGAACTTATGTGGGCGGTGGGGAGGAGATGCTAACGCTGGGCTTGTAATGCATATCAGAGAGGCTTCTACCACTCAATTGAAACGGCACTCTTTCGTCTTCACTTCGTACCTCCTGCATCTGAATGCCGTGAGATTTCGCTAGCCTGCACCACGGATTGGGTAAAACTTGGTTGCCTAAAAGTTGAAGCTTCTTGCCAACTATGTCTCGCAGCGTTTGGAGAGGATCTATACATGTTGGCAAATGTGAATGATTGAATGGTTGCAAACATCTCGCTTCCCTCAGCAGCATCTTAAGGCTCAACAATTGTCGCTGTCGCCTCCGCACTGCAACTGTTGACTGACGTAATCATGCGCCAATTACGTTGGGCGGATGCAAAAATAGGTGGGATGAAAAGCAAAAGGTTAAATCATCTAAGATGGTTCCTGGAAGCGAAAAATTGTCCCAACCTTGTGCCTTACTGCTGGCAACTAATGGATCATGGCGGTGATTGATATTGACACTTGACTTCGGCGACAGCGTTCTTTTCTGCCCTCTACACCCTTTGACAACGTTCCCTGCACATATTCGAATTTCAGCGGTGATGGCAGTCCATGCAAGCTGAAGTATCTTGAATGTTGATAAGGTAAAAAGACCAGATTGAGCTAAATGTACTTTGGAGCATTGCAGGTTCTTAAATCAACACCACTCGCGATCTTTCAGCCTTGGCAGCCGGTTTATAACAAAGTGATCCAAATGTTTGACCACAAATTCTGCACCTCAGTAGTAAGGCCAAGAGTTGTAAAACAAAGGTAATATTAATGCAGAGGAGGGATGGTATCCATTGGACTCAGCAATCACTAAGGCCGTACATGTTCATTCAGCGCCAAAATAACAAAGGGTTTTGGTGTTTGTCGTTCGACATAGCGTGATATGGGAAAATGCTCCCATTGATGCTCGAGTGAAATAGGAGGGCAGATGGAGCTGCACCATAAGCGTTGCTGAAGTGAGGACAATGGGATTACAATGAAGAGGATGAAGCACAGTGAACAGATCAGCAAAGAGACTTCATTATTTTGCGCTCATTGGGAAATGCTTTTGAAATGCCGATTGGGAGAATAGACATCTTGCAGTCACTTATACAAATATTGCGAATAAACATGCAAATAAAGCCCTAGGATGCTTTAGTAGGTTTAGCGCCACGGCCTGTGGAGAGAAATGTACTGCTGAAGCCTCTTTGCTGGTTATGTTCATGCGTCAACAACGCATGAACTACTGCTTACCGTCCAGGTGAGTTGTATTGTTTCAGACCTAACTGAGTTATTATAAGCAGGACATTAGGTGACTCACTTTGGCATTCGACAAGTGACTATGCTGTGAGACTGTCAGTGGACTTTCAAGAAAATCGGGACTTGCGTACTGCATACTACTAAGAGAGACGTAGTAACGGATGCTGAAAGTCGATGCCTGACTTAGTCCATTAGCCTCTTGTAAGCCTTTATAACAACATAATCGGTGCCCAAATGAAACATTTGCAAATCAACTGAGCCGCTTATCGAGCTGGTAGCCAAGTCATGGAGGAGTGCAGTGTGTTGAAACCGTTGCAACCGTTTCCGAGGGCAGGAAGTTTGCCTAATAGATCGGCTAGTTTATAGCCATTCATGGAGCCGCAGGTTTACAGGCAGAGTCGACTAGCAAAGAGGGTGGGGAGTCATTTCTAGTTCCTAGCATGACGCATTACACTTTGCAGTCGACACAGCGTGTCTCCTCGGATTTGACCTCGGTGTATTGGAAAATTTAATGAACAACTTACTTGCCTATTCTGCAAAGAATGTTGCCTCGGTTGCAGACAGTGCTACAGAATGGCACAGCGCTGACGCAGCTGCCTTACGTCGGCACTGTTTTACAGTCCTGTAATAAACAACGGTTATTCCATGCCTTATTTCCTTTGCATTGAATTTACAACTTAAATGGGATAAGGTAGAAGGGGGAATGCATTGTAGGGCAGGGGTTACCTGTCACCGCCTTATGCATAGCAATCTGTGGTTATTCGTAAAGCCTGAGAAAGCCATAATAACCAGGCGAATATTCGTATGGAAGAGAAAACAGCCGCGAGAGGAACCGAAACAGAGCAAACCCGATTGTGTCAGGTCATTGGAATGGAATTTCGCCTTAATTATAAACCAGCACTTCCAAAAGCACTCGCTCTGCATTTGTAAAATTAGTAGCTCCTGTCCCCCAGCTCTTTAGACACTCTAGCAACTACTCCTGAGGTTAGATTGAAAAGGTAAATTATAAATGTTGCATTAGCCCCTTGTTTACTGCGTTAACGCCTCGTTTAATCATTGAGAGCAATAGATGTTACGTCTTTCTACTCCTCGCCTCGGGTTTGTCCTTTGAGATTTGCCGGCACTTCTCAAATATTTTCCGTATCCTTACAAAACATAGTTCGTTCTACTACTTTTGTTTATTTAGGTTTTATAGGGAGAATGAGGTGATGCAGAATCGCTTGGTAGTGGGGGAGTAACAGGATTGACTTATAGAGTCAAGTAGCAGTCGGTAGAGTTCCGTAGTTCTGAAGTACAGTTTATGAGCCCGAAGAAGGGAGGAGCTTGTCAGAGGAGGGAAGGGCATTGCTAAGAGAAGTCAAAGGAAGTTTGGAAACTTAGTCACTCAATGTAAGACATTATTATGAAGCTTGAATACTCTCCACCCAGCTCCTCCTTTTCATTTCAAAGTTGGTGGGTGATAGAGTCTCATTGTCGGCGCCCTAATTTAGTCTTAGTTCCACGGCTGCACGGAAAAGTTGTGCTCATCGAGAACGAGGTATTGTCAAGGCCTGTCACATGGCGAATGTCTGATTAGCGACCTCATCGACGTGAGTTTGTCAGCCGAGACAGGCTTGCAAATGTGCAGTAACCAGTTGAAAGGTGGCGACGAGGCGAAAGTGCTCAAATGAAAGGGAGGGGGTCAAACTCCAAGGCCTGACATGCTGTTGCTAAGGTCATACAAGCGCATCCCAGTAAATGAAGCCGAAATCATTGTCCAGATTTCGCCCTTACCTTCGCGTCGCAAAACTTGGTATTCCTGATGGGCATTCGCATTTATGCTAAATTGTTTGGGCGAAATGGGCGAAACCATTTCAAATGGCAAAGGATGACATTCTTCCTATTGCACTTTACTGACATGCGCATGCATGGAAGAACAGCCGCTTCCGTTCGCATTGCCAAGTAGCTCTGTGCTGTCGCTTTCCAAATAATTGCAAATTCACCGCACATGTAAATACCACTCGATGATACGTATTTCCTTCCGTCCTCTGCCAGCGTCTCTAGTTCATCACAGCCTTTTAAATTCAAGACTGGGTTGAGGAGAATAAAAGTCAGGTAGGCACTATGACTGCCTTCATTAAGTTCCAAATTTTGCGCAAACAATTGCACCGTCACACCATTTCTGCAACAAGTGCAAAGTAAAAAATCACACCATTCCACCTTCCATAACTGCACATTCTGTGGTGGATTAAAGCGAACAAGGTTTCATGGACCACTTGACCATTTGAAGTTCTCTAAACTAGGTAAGTAACTTCAGGGCTGGCTAACTCCACAGGAACAGGGTTTACAATGTGCTGAGATTGCAACAAGTCTTCTCACTCTCTTGCTTTTCCTTCGCGACTCCCAAACATTCATCAGCACACGCCTCATCCTCTCCTGCATTGCCGCTGCTGATGTTGGCTACCTCTCCTTCATGCTCATCTTTTGCCTTTTCCACACCAACAAACACACCCAGTGGCCTGTCGCCTTCGCCCTCCTCTACTGCGGATTCAACATCTTCGAAATCTTTCGCAATTGGCTCCTCATTGCCATGTCATTCGAACGCTTCCTCTTCTTCCTCAAACCAGTCAAGTTTAAGCTCCTGTGGAGCCTCAGTCATGTGCGCATCATTGTCATTTGCATAGCAGTGGGGTCAGTGATCTGCCGAATTCCCGACATGCTGCTTGCTGCAGCACTGATATGCCATCCACTACGGAGTCAGCTCATTCGAACGTCGAAACTTGTGCACATTTTTATGGATCTGCTAGCTCTTGCATGCCTGCCCATCGTCCTGATGCTTGTCTTCTCCTTCCTCACCACCAAAACCATCACTGACGTCATGCACAAAAAGTTCTTGAGCATGCAAGCAGGCACCCCCGTGAAGAATGCACCAGACAACTCCATTAAAATTGTGTCAATTCTGCGCAACGCGCTAATCGTTTTTGTGATCACATCGCTGCCAGCAATCCCCAGCAGCATTCTCCGAACGTACTTGGTGTTGAATGAGGTGAGAGAAAGCCACCTGAACACCGTGTCGGGTGTGATGAACGGGGTTACAAACCTCCTCTCCATTATCAACTCTACCTCCAACTTCTTCATCTACGTGTGTCAGAGCAGGCGCTATCGAGGCATACTGGTGGAGTGCCTGTGCTCGTGGTGTCACAAGGGGAAGACCTCCTGGAAACCCTTCACTCTCGAGAAAAGTAACTTTCTTAGCTTATTTTGTAAGAAGCTGTAGCTTGCCTTTGCACTCACTTATCCCGAATATAGCAAGAATTTGACAACGCCATGCTTATTCGTTTGTCAGAAGGGAAAGAAACAGTGCCTCGCATCTGTTGCAATCCTGCCAACAGTGTTTGCGCTTTTTAATTTGGGCTGTGCTTCACTCATTATTCACTATCCCCATAACTTACGCCTACTTCGCGCTGTTGCCATGTATTGCCCCACTCACAATGTCCGATGCCATGCCTATAGTGTGACTCCAAATTTGCAGGTCAAACTACCGTACTGGACACTCAACTGTTGCCCTTTTTATTGGTAAGGAGGAAGATATCGCGACCTACCGAGCAGATGCTGCCCTTAGGCGTCAGACGTAAATAGATAATTGCGAAGCTCATCAATTTTGCGTTTCTTCGCATTCCAAATTTCCACCCCCCAATCCACTCAAACGGAAGGAAAGTGTAAATGGACAACTTCGCAAATCCACGACATGCCCTGACGCCACTTTCTCACCACCACTCACCTCTTATGCGTTGGCTCTTGACATCGGTGTCAAGACGGATTTGGTGGTGGCAAAACCATCCAGTGTCAGCAGCGACGCGGTGGTGATGATGGTGGTTTGCCGGTTGTTTTGCATTGTTGATTTCGCCTGAGCTTGGAAGGGAGCCACGCTTCCAAGTCTGCGGTCGGTATTATGGCATACACACTTGCCTTCCTTCCACGCCAACACCACATGTGTAGATGTCTGAGAGTTGACGAGTGCCTGTCAACCTCGGATGCCTCCAGTACGCGTGCACCATCAGGGCTGCCTTCAAGGGAAGGGGGGGGAGGGTGGTGGAGGCAAAGGAGGCAAGGGGCGAATGAGGATGCTACGCCTAGTGTGTGCTGCCGTGGCAGTAGGGAGGATGAGGGTGAGGAGAGAAGCGG